GTCTTCCTTGTTGAAAGTGAAGCAGCTATATGCGGGATTCCAAAACTGGACGAGAGCTTTGATTAGGGGTTCGTTTACTTTCACGTACAACAGAAGGGCGATGTCACCATACTTTTGCCAGAAAGAGTATTTCACATCAGAATTCCAACTTTCCCAAATTTCGCGTAACTCTTGCAAATCGTTTTGCTTTAGACTGACCGGAGCAACCTCTGGTAGTACTGATATGTAATCTTCAGTCAAACTGTCGCCTTTCTTCCTCTGAGTTTCCTCGGACCACGACCTCACTTCTGCGTTATCCACTTCCTTGTTATGAAAGCTCTTGTCCATTTTATGACCGCCTTCTACTTTTATGACCACCTTGTGAATCAACACCTTTTTTCATGAATGATGATGCAATGCAGCGGTAATAAATAAAACATAAAACACAAACAAAAATAAAAATGTGTTAGTATATACAATGAATAGTCAAACAACATGAAGATAGAAAATATATACATCCTAAACCTATTTCACATGGTATCTACCCAACATGGCATCTACCGAATCATGCTTTAGTAGATCCTACCCAACATGATATTTACCCACGTGTTTTGTTACTCATAAAAAATCCTAACCGCATGGTATCTAATTCACATGCATGTTTGAAAAATAAACCTAACCACATGATCTCTAGTTCGCATACTTTTTGCAAAAAAATAAATTCGAGGGAAAAGTTAGAATGAGTTTCCCCTTTGTGTCTGCGGACAGAGATTCAACATAAGATGGGCAGAGTTTCAGTATTTCTAAAAGGGTCCTCGAATTGTCCTTTGCTGGTGCCCCCTTGGGCTTGCCAGACCCTCGATCCTCGCCCATTATAGGCTTAAAACGGATCAAGTTCAATTTCGAGAGGATACATTTCCCTATGTCCATGCGAGGAAACTCAATGTTTCACTCGTAAACATAAGGCATGTACCCCAGAGGTTACTAGCTAAAGCCCATGCGGAGAAAAGTAATTTTTCTCACGTAAGCGTAGCTTTCACCCCTACCTAACGGGACAGAGCACAGTTAGAATGCTCTAAATATTAAAGGTTTACAGCAACAGTGGGGAAACTCATAATCCTTTGCCTCGATCCAAGAGAAACAATAGACTAAAGTGAAAGTCAGAAAACTGAAACATGTAGAACACACATTAGTACAACTATTTATTCATTAACCAAATTACAAATTAAGATGTACCCAAAACAATTCAAACAAATAAGGGATCAAAAACCAAATCAAAGCGAACTTATAACTTTCGTTTGCAAAGACAATTAATTAATCGACTATAGGCCTGACTCTCTAAAAATGTCCCCAGCGGAGTCGCCAAGCTGTCGAAACGATTTTTTAACGGCGGGGGGGAGCGAGATTTTAGAAACCGCGTCATTTTTAATTATTCTCTTTTCAATTGAATTTTTAATTAAAAACGATGCAATTTTAGAAAACCTCTCGTTTCGAAAAATTGGAAATTCTGTTACGGTAAAAATATAAGGTTCGAGGAGTCGCCACCAATATTTGATTAGGGTGTGATTGGGCACCCAAAAACATTTTGTCATTTTAAATAAAAATTAATTTTAATTAAAACGACAAGTAGAGGTCTGCGTTATCAAAATCTGAGTTCGGGAGTCGATTACGTGTGGGGAAGGATTAGCACCCCCACAACGCCCTAAATCGGTACCTAGTCGATTAATTAATTTCTTTGCAACGAATTTCACAAGTTCAAATTTGATTTGATTAATGATCCCTTTAAATGACAAAACATGCAAATTTGCAACATTCAAAGCAACAAAATAGATTTAATTTAAAATTACCAAGTCATTAGAAAGATAAAGAATATTCGATTATTTAAAAATATCGAGACCAGATCTTTAGTTCAGTTCTAACGACCTTTTCTCGAAAAGTTTAAATAGTCGAATATTTCCTTTTCTTTCGCTCCCAAATTTTACAATGATATATCCAAATTTAATTAGGCGTTACTGACGGGATACCATTTTAATTTAAAATCGTCAAAACAACTTTCCTGTAAGTTAAGGAAAGCCATTCTGATAATTTTAGATTAAAAGGGCATTACCCTTAATTCCGATTATGCAATAATGTCAAGTTATGCATATGAGGATATCATGCAAATCATACAAAGTGATGTTAATGCAAAGATTAATTGAACATGCGATTAAAGTAAACGAGGCTAACATGCTTTAAAAAGAAATACACCTAAGTGCGTATGGACAACATGCTCGAAATAATATACACATGCATATATTTAAAATAAATCTAAATTATCTTAACATACATGCATAAAATATTAAAAGGACTAAAATATGAAAAAATAAATAACAAGTTCTTTCATAACATTTCATTTTTGGGTACTGCAAACATAATACAACCAAAAATACTGCAAATGACCAAATTGAAAGTTTCTCAAATTACACATCCAATGCCTAAACAACATTAAAATGGCCCTAACATGGTTCTGGACTTAGATGTAACACGCTGAAAATTAAGATACAAAATCAAAAGATAATAAAGTTCAGTATAGGGACCAAATCGAAATGAAACAAGGTTGGGATGGCCACGCCAGACATTAACCCTTTTCCTAAAACGCACAGTTTTCCCCTCAGCTATCAAAACGCTACCGTTTTGGGCCTAAACGAAACGACGCCGTTCTGGCGTTCAGTTATATAGGTTATTAGGGTAAAATCTGAAACCCTCAATCACTTCTCTTCAGCCAGACCAAACCAAGCCCCGCCGTTTTCCTTCTTCTCTCCCTCAAACTCTCTCCTAACCCTCGACGAAGCCCAAACAAAGCCCTAGCCTCCACAGCCACCGTGGCCTCCACCGCCTAACGCTCCGATGAGGAGCCACGCAGGAGTGAAACCTACCCCGTAAACCTTGAACCCCAAAACCTTGAGTCTCTCATGACAGAACCCAAAACCAAAGGGGCTAAAACAAACCCTTACCTCACTGCTAAACCCCGCGACCCTAGCCCCGTTACCCGGTTGAACTATGACCAAACATGTACTGAACCCTTCAAATCCCTAAAGCCCGAGACCTAAAACCAACATGCATGACTCGAAATCAACGGGAGGCGAAAGGTTTTACCTTCTCACAGACGGGGTATGGATTCCTAGTGACGAAAGCTACTGGATCGGAAGGGTAAGTCTCTTTTGCTTTCGTTTTGTTCTCTAGTTGTTGATGAATGATCTTCTGGGTATTTCCTTTTTTGTTCTTTTGGGTTGTATTCTGTTTTTTATGATTGAGAAATTTTCGTTTTTTTTTTTTGGTTCTTCTCCGTTGCCGATGACCGAGAGAGCTCCCCCTTTACCCCCTTCCTTTCCTTTCGTTATTTCTAGTTGATAGATTTCTTTCCAGTTTTGTTCTTTTCTGTTTCTGCTCTCGTTTGGTGTGTTTGCAGGGCTCTGGAGCGAGCAAGTCACGGGCGCGAGCAGCCTGGGCACAGGCGATGGGGAACAGTCCCGAGGGACTTCACGTGGGTAGCACCCGGTTGGTTCGTGCTGTCTTGGAGTTCTGAGTGCGTTAGGAGCCGTTGGATCACCTCTGATCTAACGGTGGAGGCTTCTGGGAGGATTGAGAGTCGTTGGATCATGAAGCCAGATCCAACGGTGGAGGCTCAGCTGCGCATGGAGATGGTGACAGGAAACCCTAACGGGTCTAGGGTATCCTCAAATGGGCTGTAATATTGGGCTGCTACTTTGGGCTTGAGCCTATTGTATTTTAATGTAGGCCTGTAAAAATCAATTACTTAGTAAATCCATTTATCATAACATACTTATATGCATATATATATATATATATATATATATATATAATTTCATATACCCATAAATACTTATATATATATATACATGACTACAAGCCTAACAACTCATATAATTAAATGAACGGTCAATACGTAATTAAACACACATGCCAATAATAAACTAATAATAATAGATATGCAAGACTTGGTAATAATAAATAAATAGTAATATATATAAAATGGAGTAAAAATTTGAAAGAGAGCCCCGGACAAAACGAGTATCTACACCCTCATTTTACTTTTATTGCTTAAACGTTGAGATTCTGATTTCAACTCTCTTGAGATTCGGCCTAATCTCACTATTACTACAAGTTAATTTAGTAAAATCAGTTTTAATTTTGTAAGACTTCGACAATCCTATAAATTGGCGCTGTTGTCGGAGAACTATTTTAGTTTCTCATTACTTTATTTTGTTTTCATTATACGAATCGTTCTTCTCATATTTCTGATTTGCATTATATTTTTGAAATTGAGAAAACAACATGTAAATTGAGAAAGGAAACTAAATAGTGGAAACGACGTCTTAAAGAAGAAGCAGAGATAGATTTAAATGTTAATCAATTATCTATTTTTTAAGAAGTTGAAGAAGAAATGTCGAATAGGACTCTCAAGGAGTTAGTTGCACTGAATATTTAAATCAACAACCTTTATGCATCACTTTCTTTCTTCTTTTCATTGACTTCCATGAGAAAATCCTCATAAACATTTGAAAAAATTATTTCTAAGTTCCATATTGTATGCTCCGGAATGAAACCACAAGGAATCACCCATGAGCAAATCAGTGTAATAGCTTTTTCTTGTTCTCTAAAGGATCAAGCTAAAGATTGGCTTTATTATCGACCTCCCGGATCAATTACGACATGGAATGGAATGGAGAACACACCTTTGAATTGGAAGTTCGATAAAAATTGATTTTCGTTATTTTTAGTTTTAGTTCTATTTATTGATTTTTGTTTGATCAACTAAACCCCCTCGTTTTTTCTTTTATTGCTTACACATTGAGATTCTAATTTCAGCTCTCTTGGGATTCGACTTGATCTCGCTATTACTATAAATTAGTTTAGTAAAATTAGTTTTTATTTTACTGGGCTTTGACAGCCCTATCAAATTGACACCGTTGTTGGGTAGACTGTTTTTAAAGAAGTTATTTTATGCGTTTAAAACTGACAACATCAGAAAAGAAATCTATGACATTATGCAGCTCACTGGTGAGACTTTGTACGAATATTAGGAGAGGTTCAAGCGATTATGCGCTAGTTTTCCCTCATCATATCCTAGACCAGCTTTGATGCTAGTTTATTATGTTGAAAGCAACCCTAGTGCTTTGATACTAGTTTATTATGTTGAAAGCACGATAATAATGGATATAAAATGATCGCAAAAGAAAGAATACTAAGATTTAAAATGAAAAGTATATTTAAAAAAAAAATCACGAGTAGAATAATAGAATTTTACTAATATGGACAAGCATAATACAATAAGATTTGAGGAAAGAAAACCGAACTTCTAACTCTAATTCATATTATTTATTTATAGGGATAAATACTTGATAAAAAATGAAACTCATAAATTAGAAATCTACTAAAAGTATGTTTTCTACATAAAAGAAAGAAAAGCTTCACCCTTCTAATCAAATTACGTTTCTTATGTTCTCTAATTATCTCTTAATTAATTTGTGTCATATTAAATTCGAGTCAAACTCTAACAATATTGAACATCATAAATCAATCATTGTTAATAAATAAAATGAATCACCCTTCTAATCAAATTACGTTTCTTATGTTCTCTAATTATCTCTTAATTAATTTGTGTCATATTGAATTCGAGTCAAACTCTAACAATATTGAACATCATAAATCAATCATTGTTAATAAATAAAATGAATATATCCATATTAGAAAAGCTGAATAACTATCTCTAACAATATTGATGTCAAAGTAATTTTCAGCAACTGAAAATATTGTATGTTGTATTTTTAAGTTCCACTGGATTTGAGACAATAAACTTTTCATCAATCACCGTTTTGGGATCACTCTCCGAGTATATAAATTTATTGGGTTAATGATTCTGATTCTGACGCTGGCGCTGTAAGCTCTTCTCCTATCGTAGTTGTCATTGGATATCGATTAATATCTTGTTTCAAGAGTAAAATAATCTGGGAAAATTATAGAAAATTTGGTATATAAGATAACAATCATATATGCAAGATTTTTTTCCTACATTATGCAGTTTGGATCAATTTTTTTTTTGCTCGGTAAAAATTCATTTATTGATTAAGAACCTAAAATAAGAGTCTCGTTAAATCTCATAAACGTAGATGAAGGAAAAGAGTATTCTTAACAAAGTAACACCACAAATAACTCGCTTTCGCAACGAGTACAGAATAGAGACCCAACACACCATCTAAGCACAGCCGACTATACAAATTACACCCTGACAGAGGACAGACCACAAACCCACACCAAAAATTGAACACACAAACGTTGGCTCCCACAGCTCCCAACCTCTCATAATTGTTGGTAAAATAGACTGCTACAAAACGAGGCGTTAGCACTGACTGGAAAATATTAAATAAAATAATCAATCAGAATGATAACCGTGTCGTGGTAATCCACTGCCTTAGAAACGAATTCGCCCCGAAGTGTGTAATCGCTGCAGTAGGCGGACCGTTCCCCCGAGGTTAACACGGCTCTCCAAGAATTCGTACACCCGAAAACTGGGGTGAACTTTGGTGGTATTGCTCTTCTCTCAACTCAAACAACACTCACTATAGATGATTGTTTCAAAGCAAATGTTTTGCTTGGGATGATTAAAATGAATGATTTGCTCTCTATTTATAGGATAAATAGTGAGGGTAAAATGGTCATTTCCAACACTATATTTCCAATATTTAATTAGCATTTTCCATGATAATGCTATAACCTAATTTGAGCATTTTCTCATGCTAGTGGAATTTTGAGTATTACCAATACTTTGAGCATTATCAACATTCCCCCACTAATGCGAAATAATTCTTTCGTAAAGATAAGAGCAATGAAGTTAAAACATGAGAAGAGCAATAGCGAGATTAGTTGCCTAAACACTAGTGAACGTATCTGGAACTAGTACATAGTGATGATGAGCAATCCTTCTCTTAGATAAGTGAAACTAGTCTGGAACTTTCTAAGATTGGGGTAAACTCATAACACACAACTAAACCCTTCATCCACCAAAGTTCTCGAAGTGTCTACAAAGAATATATACAAAAGCGTATATATGTTGAGCTCACCAGGACCGCAGAGGATCGTTCCCAGCTGACTTTAACTAGCTGGGATGGTCACGCAGCTGTCTGACAGACTCCCTATCTTTAAATGTTGATAATGCTCAAAGTATTGGTAATACTCAAAATTCCACTAGCATGAGAAAATGCTCAAATTAGGTTATAGCATTATCATGGAAAATGCTAATTAAATATCGGAAATATAGTGTTGGAAATGATCATTTTACCCTCACTATTTATCCTATAAATAGAGAGCAAATTCATTCATTTTAATCATCCCAAGCAAAACATTTGCTTTGAAACAATCCTCTATAGTGAGTGTTGTTTCAGTTGAGAGAAGAGCAATACCACGAAAGTTCACTCCAGTTTTCGGGTGTACGAATTCTTGGAGAGCCGTGTTAACCTCGGGGGAACGGTCCGTCTACTGCAGCGATTACACACATCGGGGCAAATTCGTTTCTAAGGCAGTGGATTACCACGACACAGTTATCATTCTGATTGATTATTTTATTTAATATTTTCCAGTCAGTGCTAACGCCTCGTTTTGCAGCAGTCTATTTTACCAACAATTTAGAAACGAATTTCTTATACTGCTGTTAACACATGGTTCTTACATAGGTAAGAATCAAAAGGTTAGTACGAATAATATATCTAAACGCCAAATATGTTTTAAATCACGCGTTTTAAACTTAAGAGCTTTTAGTGTATAATTGTGCTAAGATCGAGAATTGCATGACATTAGCGTTAAAGGAATTTAAAATAGGTGCTTAAAGGCATTCGAAACTTATGGTAATTTAACGTTAATGCATAATAATGAATATTAATACACGAGATTAAATGCATGTATACGCCATATAGAAATTATTCAAAATTCAGCACGAGTGGCACTGGAATCTTGTCTGTCATATGCCATATATCAGCCTAATATGTAGGATCATTTTGCATAGAAGAAGATATTGAGCAAACATCGGCTAAATAGTGATAATTGTTGTTTACATGATGAGCTGATTAAAAAAAATGTGGACGCACAACTCCATATAATTATGAAGCAGTGAAAGGTGCTTTTTCTAGGCAAGCCAATGCGGGACAGATTAAGCTCTTTGCTGAGTGAAAGTACAGTTGCCTTCAACCTAATTGATTAGCTTTGGGAAATCAAAACATATCTTTTGCCTAATAATGTATGAGGTTTAAAACCATATTCACGTGAGCAATTAAAGCCATTAAATATCGTTTTTTAACATTGGTTTTAAAAGTGATAAATGCATGAGATTAATGCATTAACGATGCATGAATTGAAAACCGTTTTATTTATAGCTTTTAATGATTTTCATAATGGCTATGAAAACATTGGTTTTAATATGGTTTATTGAATTGAAGAATAATTTTAATGGTTAGATTAATAAAAAATTAATGACCATTTATAATTGTAAAAGGCCAAATGGTTATGGAAAATATTTATTAAAAGCTCATAAATATTTTGGTATATGTTATTCAAAACATTGGAACGGTCGAATGACAAAAAGTTTTAATTTGTATGTATGATAGTTGATATGTGGAGAAGAGTAACTATTTATTTTCATATGGGGTAAGATTATTCAGTTTCTGACTATTAAGTTGAAAATAAATATCAACTATTTTATCATACTAATAATTTCCTTTGAGAAATTTATAAAGACAACAGGATGATTGCAATTTTAGAGAATCATGAAGATGATGATGTTGAACGAGAAGATTCTTCAAACCAAATAGTTGTTAAATTCGGATTTGATGTTCACAATCTACTGAAGATAAGAAACCAAAATCCTAAAGATAAGGATCTTGTCACAATCAAATTATTGTTAGTAAATTAATTTCGTGACTAACCATGTATATTCTTCATTTGACTTCAGAAGATTTAAAAGAGATGATGGTTCAGATGAAGAGCTTGTCACGATGGATTTTGGGATCATGCTATTAAAAATGATGATGCAAAGGCTGAAGTAGCATGCATGGTGAGGATGAATAAGTTTATTTGGAAATTATGACTCTACATGCGAGGTCAGATTATTTAGACTTGTTATCTGTTAATTCATGTTTTTTTTAAATACATGAATTAGATTGCATGAGCCTTTAAGATAGTCTTTAAAACTTAGTGGATACTATGAAATGAGATAAAACCACTAGTAAAGACAAAGGTAGTACTACTAAGGCTAAGGGAGTAGTGTGAGCCCAAAAATATATATGCTTAATAAGATACTATTGTGAGTAAAAGTATCAAGCATAATTCTTTAAAGAGATATTATTTAAAGAAAGAGAAAATCTATAAATAATTTATTGGAAAGTAGTGTGATGAGTATGAAGTGCATGTCTAGGATTGGTTCTATGAAGACTTGGTACTTAAGCGTGCCTAGTGCACCACCTCTCTTTCATAGAAACCTACATGGTGCATTGTTCATTACTATACTAACTATTTCAATTTATAAAATACTATGACAAGATAAAAACTCTTAAAAACTTAATGAAGAAGTTAAAAGAGTAGAGATTAATTTGGTTGAGTAGAATACCAAATATAGTCATAGTAAATAAAATATATGATGACCTCTTTAAGGCTAATATGTTGAATATCATGAATGAGAATATGATAGACACTATTGCTACTAAGAGTGTGTTGTAGCTATTAAATCTCTAAGTGATTTTCCTAAGTAGAGAAAAGAAAAGAGATTATCTATTTCATAATGGTTTATGCATTTTAATCTTAATGATCTTTAACTTCTCAAAACTTTGAGAATATAATTATGTGAAAACAAAACTTGAATTTGTTAAAATATAGTTTTATGGCTAAAACTCATAACAAACTTTACTCTAGTATGATTGAGTATTTGTTTACACGTTTTACAAGACATTTATGGATATCCTAAAATGTTAGAAATGTGGGGGTGTCTTAAAATAAAGATTAAATGCATAAACTTAAAATATTCTGTTGTGGGGAAGACCGACTCCTCCGATTTCTTTTTTGTTTGATTCACAAGCTGTGATAT